ACTGTACGAACTCAATGGTACGAAGTCAGTCGTACGTACGTACGAAGATTCTTCTCGTACAGCGAAATTGCACAACCTTGGTATTATACAGTGTTTTAGACAATTTCTGTTGCACCAATTTAATTTTAATTCCGTTGTATTGAAAATAAAACATTCTCGTTGTTTTAATTATTACAGAAAAAATCATACAGACTCACCTCAAACCTTTATATTATTAATGTTCGCTTTTGTCTAGTATTGCCCATTTATTCTATGTAATACAAACACATCAAAAATAAATAAAATTTTCACAAATGGTAAAATCATCATTAGAAAAGTTAAACTTATTATTTAGCAGCCTAATTAAGACCAAGGAGGATGCTCTACCATTAAAGTATATTAGTAAACTTGTAAATGATTTAGCAAAGTTGTTGAATGAACCAGACTTTTATGATGTAGAAATTAGAGTTGGAGTAGGCGAGGATATTAAAACTTTTAAAGCTCATTCCACCATTTTAAAAGCAAGATCGTCATATTTTAAAGCTGCTTTATTAAATAATTGGGTTAAAAAAAATGATGATGATATTATTTTATTTAAAAAAGAAAATATTTCTCCAAATGTTTTTGAAGTTCTTTTAATGTAAGAATTAATTTAATTACAATTAATAATTTAATTAATAAGTTGAATGATTATAATAATTTATTTTATTTTATTTTATTTTATAGATATATTTACAATGGAATAGTTAATGTAGATAATCTAGATGGAAATGAAATTCTTCAACTTCTTGAAGCATGTGATGAATTAAACTTTGATGAGCTAATTAATGATTTGCAATACTATTTGATTAACAAAAAAAAAGAATGGTTTCAACAGAATTTAGTTTATGTTCATAAAATTTCATCACAGCATCAATTGTTTAACTTGCTTCAAGGACATTGTGCTAAAATAATTAGCAAAGATCCAGAATCATTTTTGAATTCTAATAACATTACAAAAATTGAAAAGTCCATGCTTAAATCTATTTTAGAAAGGGATGATCTAAAATTAAAAGAAATAGATATTTGGAATTATGTTATTCAATGGGGAATAGGTCAGAATAAAGACTTGGAAAAAGATATTTCAGTGTGGAAGAAGGAAGATTTCGTCAAGTTGAAAATTGTAATAAAAGATATAATTCCATTGATAAGATTCAATCAAATTTCTTCCACAGATTTTTCTTGTAAAATTTTACCATTTAAAAAAATTTTTCGTAAAGGAATTTATAATGAAATTCTTTTATACTATCTTAACAATGACTGGCAGCCAAAATTATTACTTCAAAAAGGACCAAGATTAAAAATGAGAACAGGAAAATTATTAAATTTACAAATGAAATCTCTAATTTCAAGTTGGATTGATTACAAAAATGATCTATATAATGAAAAAGATATACCTTATGAATTTGAATTAATTCTTTGTGGATCCCAAGATGGATTCTCTAGATCTGTTTTTGAGGATAAATGTTATAATATCAAACAAACTATAGCTATTATGAAGATAAAAGAAATTGGTGAGCTAGTTGGTGGCTATAATCCAGTTGGTTGGAATATAAAAGAAAAGTCTCCAGATGAAGATTACAAAATTAAAACAGACAAAAGTTTCATTTTCAAAGTTGATAAAAATCAACTTAGTAATTCAATATTAAGTAGAGTCATCAATTTACCTAATTTTGGAGTATATCATAATAAACAAAGGATTAATAAAAGTATAAATTATATAGATTTTCAAGAAACGACTATAAATTTTTACGATTTACAACTATGTAATAGTGTCAATAATGAACCATATTGTTTTTATTCTTATAATAATATTTATAAAAATAACCTTGATTTCAGAAATAATAATAGTAGAGTTCATTTGATAGAAGAATGTGAGGTTTATCGGATTAATTTTTTTAAAAAAATAAATATCTAAATTTGTGAATTATTATTAATAATAATATCACTCAATCATTTATCTTTAATGTGTATTAAAATTTTTAGTATTGGTAGTTGGTTGTATAGTTAGTTGGCTTCAATGTAATTTATTAAATTTTTATATATCTCCTCGTGAATCATGCATGTTGTTCTTTTACATCAATCATTTTGGATCATGTAATAATAATTCAAACAAAAGTTTCTTTAATATTCAATCATATTCTGTGCCCAACATCTACAACCTTAAACTTGTTGTTTTTATTAATATTACAATCATCATCATCATCATTTGAATCCCTGAATTTCAGCATTACGTAACCAGTGTTAGCTGCGGTTTTATGGTATTAATATTAACGTACGAGCGACAATACGGCACGCGCTGTAACCGTATTTATTTCAATTGTCTATTTTTCAATTGTCTTTAAAAGAAAAGGTTTATTAAAAGATGATGGGTATGTGGTTCTAACCTTGAAAAATTTGTTTTGTCACAGCACTCACAATGTTAGTTGCGAAGCAAGATTCGTTGTTTCCAATCAACATGATCATCATTATTAACACCAATTCAAAATTGCGTTTTAATTAATTATATAATATGTAAAAATTAAAATTTTATACAAGAAATAATATAATAGCCAAATTAAAAAAAATATATTAAATATTAAATTAATAATAGTACAAATAATAGTACAAATAATAATAACATAGAAAGGGTTGATATAATATAAACCCATATTACATATTATGCCACGTTGCTAAATTACAAAGATTTTGTTTTTTTAAAAAAACTCCGAATTTTAATCAAATGATCACTTCTCTATTTTGTAAAAACCCAAAAATAATAATTGACTTGACATAATAATAATTAATAATATATTAACCTTTCAGTAGAATTGTCCGCTGAATTATTATTACTACTAGAACCAAAACCGTTTCCGCCTCCATGGTTATTGTTATTAATAGTACCACCCCTACCCCTACCGCCACCACCTAATCCATTCGAATTATTATCACGTCCTCCTCTATGATTATTGATGTTATTTGCACCCATAGCATTTGAGATTAATGGTTGAGTATTTGCATACATATTAACATCGCTTCCATCATTGTGTAATAAGATTTGTCTTTGCGGTTGTAATGGTAAATTAGAAATTCTTCCTCTTCCCCCTCCTTGTTGTTGAATTTGTAATGGTGTCTGTTGAGATGGCAGAGTAGGTGTGTATGTGACGCCACTTCCATGTTGGGATTCTTGTGAACCAAAATATGAGGACCATTCATTTAAATCTGCATTGTGTGGAAGTCCCCAAAGATTTGGTGTTGATGTATTAGTATTTAATGACGCTTGAAAATCGTTAGGTGTGGTAGTGGCAACAGTGTTATTTGTAGAGGAAGAAACCATTCCCGGTGCTCCATATGGATCGGTCACTCCGATAGGTTTTTGATCTCGTGGATTTGTTGTGTTAGAAGTAATATATTTGAATGAAAATGGATTATTAAACATTTGTGCCGATTCTGCTAGACCATGGTGTAATTGAGGTAGTGGTTGTGGTTGTGATTGTGGTTGTATTTGCGGTGTTGTTTGTGGTTGAGTTTGTGTATGAAAATTAAACTGATTATGTTGTTGTTGTTGTTGTTGTTGTTGTTGTTGTTGTTGTTGTTGTTGTTGTTGTGAAGGAACTGAAATTTGATCACTAAAACTTAAAATTGAATTATTATTATTGATATCACTAATATTATTAATATTATCGCTTTGAAAATTTGTATTTATTGAACTAGGCACTATGCTTGATGATGATGATGAGGATGATGATAATTGGGTCTCCATTTTCATATTGTTGATATCACTTTCGTTAGATAAATTAGATTGATTGTACAATGTACGATAACGAGATTGCCATGCACGATCCGTGAATCCAACAGGTTTTTGTTGATTTTCTGATGACGAATTACCACGCTTTTTTTTATCAACATTACCACCACCACCACCACTGCCACCAACAATGTTTTTAACAGTCAATTCTGGGTCTAATTGAATCTCTTTTAAATCCACCAAATCCAATAATAGTTCATAATATTTAAAAGCCGTCTGCCATCTTTTCTTGAATTCTTCTAATAATTTCAAAGAATGGGCAAGTTGAATTTTTGAAAATCGTGAAATATTTGAATCTTCTTGGGTAGCGTTATATGTGTGGATAACACCAGCAGTAAAAATACAATATACGATAGCATTTACTGCTTGATTTAACTGATTGTTATTTAACAAATCGACGGCTATTTCTGTGATTGCTGTTGCAGCTTTAGTGCACACTTCATGTGATGAATTGTGTAAAGAGGCATATGGACGGTGAAGAAACATTAATGCCGAGTAATATAGAATGTGTAAACAAAGAGTAGATGGGTGTTTTGCTTGATCTGAATTTGGAGTGTATTGTAAATGCTCTGGTAATGCTAAATACCATGAATTGAGTGATGAATTTAATATGGAAAGAACTGTGTCGGAAGTCATTGATACAGGGTTACACCTGATGGCGTAAACATTTTGCATAACACGACCTAATATTTCACATAATTTGATTAAATAAATAAAACGTGAGGCTGTGTGCGCCTTTATTCTAGGTTCTAGCGGACCATTTATTATTGGTGATCCTAATGCACTGCTACTTGACGAAACTGGGGATGAAGTTGATGAAACTGTAACATGCTCCATTTTAAATGGAAGATATTCACTTTCATCATCTTCATCTTCTGAAGGGTACGCTGCATCTACATCCTTTTCATCAATTGCAAGTGGTCTTCCTAAGTGTGCACTTGCTGTGCTATATATTTATATAAATTATAAATTATACAAGTTTTACGCGTTAATTAATGAATTTTAAAATGTTTTATTTTATATAAATTTAACTTACCGATCAAGAACAAAGCAAGCCCAAAAGACACGTCTTTGCTCTTCTTTTTCTTCTCTTTTTAAATCAATTGGATGCCATTTTTCATTATTTCTATGTATACCTAATTCTTGTGACATACGACACGCCATACCACTATATAACCAAGCTCTTGTAACTCTACCTGTGCCATATTCTCTTAATGATAACAATACCAATGCTTGAATTGTGGTCATTCGAGCATTATCATAATCATTGTCAAGTAATGCTTTTGCACGTTCAAAAAAAAAATCACCAGCAGTATGATGATTATTAGGATCACTTCTAACTTCAATTCTATCCGAAAATTGTGAAGCGTAGGCGTATATGGCATTTAATAGTAGGAGCGGTGGATGCTCTTTTTGTTTCAGTTGATCAAAAAACCTTGGTTTATAGATAACGGCCATCAAAGGATGTACATTGTTGAAATAAAGTTCGAGCAGATGATCGGATAATTCTTGAGATGGTAGTTCGGTTAATTCAGGTCTCTTTAATAAATCAAAATTATTTGTCGATGCAATAACTTGACCAGGGTGTTTCCAATTGTTACTGGTAATGGATAAAATTCCATCCTTGTATCTATTTCCCTTTTTTAATAAATAAAAACCACTACTCCTTCCATGATATCTAATTTGATTATTCTCATCTATACTAAGAATTCCCATGACCTCGTTTAAATCGTCAATCAAATCACCACTCTTTGTCGTTCTATCAGTGTTTCGTTGATTAGATGATGATGGTGGTGATGATGATGATGATGAGTTGGTAGTTGATGATAATGATTTGTCAAAAATTCTTGTTAATGACTTGAGATCACCAGCAGATGATGAAGATTTTAATGATGTTGATGATGATGAATCATTTCTATAAGTTGTGAAATCTACATTATTACTTCTATTAGATGAAGTTGAATGCAAATCGTCTTGCATTAACTCAGCCAATGCTGCTTCAGCTCTAGGATCATTACTGTGAACTAAACCGCCTAACAATGATTCCATTTTATGTAATCTAGTTTCAATTGCTTCTATGTAACCTTTTGGTGGCCCTCTAAATAATAAATAACAATATAGTAAAATAAAGTTAATGATACTTTTGTCATATGATGCGCACCGAATAACGTAAAGACACATTGAAATAAAATTAATATAAATTATTTCATCAGGTTAAAAGAATACCTTTTTTTTGTTGTATCATTGTATGTACATTCCAGATTAAAGGCTTTGCAATTGCCGCAAACTGATTGAATTCCATCGCACTGAAATAAAAAAAAATAAGGAATACATAGTTTATAAATTTCTTTTTAATAAAAAAAAAAAATAAAACATAATTCATATAAAATTAACTAAATCAAATTACCTTGACTTTCTTGCGACGACATGAGTCACAAGCTTTTGAGACGCGTTGGCGTTTAGAAGAAGGAACGTCGTCAGGCATTTCTATGCTTACTTATATTAAATATTATTTTGTGCAAAAAGGTTTATCCGATAGGGTTGAAAATAAATCCAAAAACTTGAGAAGATGAATATATATTATTTACAAAAAAAAAAAAAAGAATTGTCTAATTTTTCCAGTCTTTTATTTTTACAGTTACTTTTTTATATTGTATTACAATAATAATCAATTTCACTCATTCACTGCGGATACATTATAAATTTAATTTTTATTATATTTAATTAACTCATTATTAATTTTGGAAAATTAAAATAATGGAATTAAAAAGGAAAAGAAAATATAAAAACTTTGAATATTAATTAATATAATTAGAGTCATTTTTAAATGATTTGATTTACTAATAAAATAAGATTAAATCAAAAAATATTAGTTTGGAAACAATTAATTTATGAAGAAAACGTTTTATTGGTGGACCAGAAAGAACATGTTATTTAAAATTAGTAAAATAAAATTTGGTATTATATAGGGAACTTTAATTTTATTTCGGGGTTACACAAACCAATAATAATATAATTTATAAGCGAGAGGACGAAATTACGTTATTGTGACAGAAGGTAGAGAGATTATATTTATAATTTATTGTCCTTTAAAAGATTTTCTAATTCACTAAAAACTCTTATTGGTAATCCAACGACATTATAATAACATCTATAGAAAATAACAATAATTTAATTAATTAATAATAATAACAAATCCACAGGTAAACTTTGATAAGTCGGTCCCCTCAATCAATTTGCTTAAAGTACTTTAATAATATAAATAACGACCGACTTTATCGAGTTTACCTGTGCAGATAGATCGATAGATAAATAATAAATAAATGATTTTTATACCCGTTTATTTTCTCAACAAAAAATGCACCTAAAAATTGATAAGCGTATGCACCTATTTTTTTATCACAATCAAAATAATCATAGTTGATTGATTGATTGCATTATCATTACTAATTTATCAATTGATTTTCTTTCACGTAAATTTTACCTGCTTTGTCCATAGGTTCACCCGTATCAATATAATTCAAATAACCTTCATCATCACAATTCCTAAATGTAACCTCTGTAACTTCATAAAATTCATGAATTTGATAATTTGTTTGATCATTTATCGATAACCCAGCAGATGGTGACGGTGATGAAATAAGAATGGATACACCAGTGTAAATCTTGTGTGTTCTGTCATTGAGTTTCTTTAAGATTCTTAATGCATCTTCACGATCTCTTGGTTTCTCCAATATTTCACCGTCAATGTAACCAACTGTATCAGCTGATATTATTATATCTACTTTCTGCGATTCTTTCTATATACAATTATAATTTACGATTATATATATTTTATTTATTTATATTTGTTTATTCTATATAATATATTTATCATACAATTATTATTACCAATAAACGATCGTATACATTTAAACATTTCTTTTTAGCATTAGCAATCACATAATCTGATGGTTTTTCAAAACTAGATTTATCCAAATCTTCAGCAAATCCGCTTGTAATTGATTTGAAATTTATACCCTGATTATATTATAGTAATGTTTGATATTTTGTAATAATAAATCTTATTCCGATATATATAAATATATTTTAATTACCAATCTTGATAAAATTTCTTTACGATTTTTTGAACCAGATGCTAAAATAATTTGTTTGTTTTTTAAATGTTTAAGCATTCTATTGTTTACTATTTACTATTACTTTTTTTACTTTTTTTTACTTTGGGAAAGAGAATTTTACACAGTATGATCGACGTAACACGTTTTCTGTAATACCATGGCTTTCAATAACCTTCCAAATTTAGTTTTTTTTTTTCTTGGCAAACCAACAATTTTTTTTATTTTCCAATAGCAAGTAATGGTGACTGCTTGCCTTGTTAGCTTCTTAAGCTAATACTTTTTGGAGACACCATTCTTTTTCGGAATAAAAGTAATGCATTTCATTTTACCCAATCTAAATCTTTTCAACTCTTATCAATCAATAAATTATTTTTTTAATTGTGATTGCTAGTTTGTCATATTCACCTTATTATTAACTTTTTCAAAATCTCCTCATATCCTTCCTTTCCCTGTGATTGAAACAAACAAAGCGTTATATTAAAAAGAGTTAAATAAATATATATTCATTCATTCCTTAAAAAGAAATTGTTTGCTATTTTGATCTAGATTGTTGAAGTTACACCTCAATGTGATTCCGGATTATCTCAGCCACCATTTCCCCTGCATTTTATGAAATATCCTAAATTGGTAAAGCTTTTTGCTGAAGTTACTACGTCTATGAAAAATTTTAAGTAATAGTAATGACTTTTAATGGGTAGACTATTCCTGGGGTGTATCCAAAAACCTTATTATAAGTCATATGCAAATCGGGAAAAGCGGTTGTATGAAATCATGAGCAATGGTTATTTTTTTTTAAAAAAATAATTTGATAACTTGCATTGGTGGGAAATACAAAGATCACATAACAAAGATCACATAGATACAATGGCACCATATGCGGTTACACGTTTTATACGGACAGAATTTTAATTCTTTGAAAATAAAAAAATTCGGGAATTATAATCCGATTCAGGCATAGTAATTAGTGTCAAATTAACTGTATTGCATTAATAAATTCTGTCTGCAAAAAAAAAAAATTTTTAATTGGAAAATTTTCTTTAAAAAAAAAAAAATATTTTTAACATTGAAATTGGATCTTCTGGGAGTGCCCATTCAACACATTTTTTATTCTATTCTCACCCCTGCAATTTGGCAACCAAATATATATATTTAATATATTAATATGTAAGCCCTGGACAATAGAAAAGGATCAATCTAAATGACTTTTTGACTAAACTGACTAAACTATTTAGTCAAGTTAGGATTTTAACCCCTTTATGACGCATATCTTTACCAGCTGGCTTATCTCTCAAAAATAAAAGGTTTCGTCTACTTGTACTTTTTACCTCTAGCATCTTATAAACACGTGTTACACGAATATTGTGGCCTAACTTCAAAATGTTTTACATTACTAGCCTGACAATGCTTATCCATCAAGGAAAACTACATCAGAAAGTGAATACTCCCTTTCACACTTACTGTTGAACATAATTTCAAAATGCATAAAGAATGAGTACTATCGAACATAAGCAGGATAATAGCTATCTGATCCAAGTTTTTTTTAAAAATAATCAGATTTCTAATTGACAAAGTTCTAGAAAATAGTGATGTTAGCCGATAGAAAAACCTTAGCCGGCTAAGAACTTAATAAATCCCAGTTGACGAAAAAACCTTTTCATATGGTACTAAGCTTGCCGGTATTATTATTACTACTACCATCGTTATTATTATTACTATTATTTACTATTGTTATTATAATATCTCGCCTTTAATGGTTCAATTATTTGTTTTATTCATTATGAATTTGAGTATTCGAATTACATTGAAGGTTTTATTCGAATAAACGAATAAAACGAATAAAACGAATAATTCGAATGGTTTGAATAAAACGAATAGAACGAATAATAATAATTCGAATTAAAATAAGAAAATAGAGACTCTGGCTTTTATCCTGCTATGATGAATTGTATTTTGCTTTTTGAGTAAATGTATATTTTTGTCATTCTAAGTAATGTAGGTGGACCCCATCTCGACTAAATGTCTATGCCATTGAATTCTGCACTAAAATTCTAGACGTAAAAATGAATGTCAAGAGAACTTATTTTTAGCCGGCTAAGCCATTTAAAAATTCCTTAGCTGGCTAAACATCACTACTAGAAAATGTAGAAGTATATAATTTTATTTTGCTAAATCTAATATGATTATGGGTATATTTTTGCGTTAGAATAATTATTAAAAAATTCAGTCAATTTTTGTGTGAGAAGGTTTTAAAAAAAAGATGTATACAAAAAATCTGCTTTTATTTTCAAATGAATCTAAACTTATTTAATTATGCTTTGCAATCATATAAACCCACCTTCACCTATCTTTCAATATTTGCTGAGATTATACAACCTTTTGTCATCGTCGTTATTTTTGTTAAATTTAGATATCGGTTGAGAGAAACCATTGAATTAATTGGATCATATGTAAGAGAGCCTGAAACTATACTCTTGAGGAATGGTAAAAACTCTGGATAAAAAAATCCATCAGTGACAGTGACCATTAGAATTGAGAAAAAAAAAAGAATATTTCAAGAGACATGCATATTGATAGAAATTTTGATGAATATGAAAAAGATAATAATAATAAAATCCTTTTTTTTTTTTACGAAATACTCGTGAAGCAAATATGGGAGGTTCCCTTCGTACATAGCCCAAAGAAATGTTGGAAGAACAAATAAAAACAATATAGTAGGTGGTGAACATTTTTCCAAGGCAACAAAATTCCGAAACAAATTTAAACAACAGGGAAAGATCGCGAGATAGTAATTGCAATTGTAATTGTGATTGTAATTATAGAAATTATGGTAAAAATGAATAATAATAATATTTAAAGAAATAGAAATTATATTTACTTTCTCATAAACATACAAACGAATTATTTTATTAATTTGTATTTAATACTAATATACTTTTTACTGCTATGGGAGCTTAATTGTAGTTGATTTAATTTGAACCGCGATCAAGCTTTTGTTTTGTAAGGATATACGGCGGAACAGTGTTCAAAATCATATTAATATTATGGCTTGGAAGAACTCAAACTCAATACATATCAGCCGATTTGTTTTTTTGGACCTCAAACCTTATATCTTATTGTGTCTCGACGTTAAACACAATGTGTAAACTGGTCAATAGAAATTATAATTAACCCCCAAAAAATTTATTTGCTCCGCTAAAAAAAACTATTTTACTATTCAATACAAAATCAGCGCATATGGATAAAATAAAAAGACAAATTATAATGAATAATTTAGGAGATTAAATTAATCATCCATCGATTCTTTCTTTTAACTATCAGACTCTAATGAAATCAAATGTAAATAAAAATATTGTCAGTAATGATTAATGGATAGTAAGTTCCAATTAATTAATTAATAACGGAGTTTTTATTTACCTTCAGCATTTAAGAGAAAAGAGC